AAATTTCTCCGCATATCTCGCATAAGAAAAATTGCTGTGACCAGAATTTTGGCGAGAGTCTTTGCATATTTACCTTCTTTCATTTCCCAGATTCCAAGCTTTATCTATTGACCGGTTTTGATTTTTATTTTGAATTGCGTGACACTGAAAACTAGCAATAGGGTATTTTTTGGGAATTGTACGTGGTTACAACTGAGCCAAATTAAAAAAAAATTCACCGTCAGTTTTGCTTTTTGTGCTCATGTTGACGTCATAAAAATCGAAAATCACTAACGTTTTCCTTAGAGTACGCGCAGATTACTTGAGCTTTCGTCCTATGCGCGCGTGCAATCGTAAAACTATAGGGAGCCACCTTAATCTCACTTCTCTAAGCCTTCTAAATAAGTGGGGTGTTTATTAAAGCAAAATGCAGCCGCTTTGTTTACATGGAGTTTGAACTGTTTACAACAAAAGTCGGGTGCATATTTTCTTTGTACGTGAGAGTTCATTGTCAACATTTCTCCTCAATAAAATTTATTTTTCCTGTCCTTAATTCTTCCCAGTCGTGTTCACCCTTGGACCGTCGCCGGAGTGTAGGTTTAAAGCTTCAAAACTGTAAAGGCCTGTTTATTCAGGCATCACACGATCCCAGATAAATTTAAACACTGATCTATATGGGTGACTTCTTTTTCACATTAAAAGGCGTATGCTCTCAAAACAAACTATTTACACTGGGTGGTTCAGCTGAATGTACTTTCCGGAAACACGCCACAGATTTTAGGGAAAAAAAGCGCGTATGAATCATGGATCAGTCCTAACAAAGCCGTTTCAAAACAAATGCTCTTTACACTGGATTGTTTGGAAGTCTCTTCAGAAAGAGCACAAGGGTACACTAAATAATTTACCCACAACCAAGCAACCGATTGAACAAAATTACTGGAAACATCAAAATCCATTTGTTCAATTTCAACAATGACTGTCCACTGATTTTCGTTAAGGCTGCTGCCTTTTTCATACGAGCGTTTGACTTTTTCTCAGATGCGTCGCGTTCAGTTGTTACATCAGCGTTTGAGTTCCCTGGTGTCAGTTATCTGGTCAGTTGCCTTCACTTTTTATAACATCAGTTCCAAGCTTCCCTCCTGCTCTCTGGGCTGCTGCATTTAAACGAGCCTTGGAATTTTCTCGTGTTCTCTCTGACAAAGCAACAGCACATTCTTCATCTTCTTCTAAACACTGCCCATCTAACACTGATTCTGTGATAAGTTGAACACACATTGTTAGGTTTTCTGTATCAAAGAAACTTGAAACATCAACACAATAGACTGGGTACATCAATTATCCTGGGTATGGTACGTAGGGGACTTAGCAGATGACTTTGAGAACAACTGACTGCCACTGGATACATATTTTCCAAGCTCCACTTGTTCAAAAGGTGGATAAAGTTATCCACCGGAATGTAGCGGTGATTTAGAATTGGAAATCATAAAATAAATAAAAAAAAGCTGGGAAGTAATTGCTTGGAATTCTGTCCAGGGCGCAGCCGATGTTATCACCTCTGCCCCGCTCGAGATATGTTAA